CTTTTTTTTTTTTTTTTTTAAATTTTTTAACCATGCTCCATAATTTGTTAGCTGGTTACAATTTTTTTTCTTTGCCTGCTTAGGAACATCCACTTTTTATTTTTTATTTATTTATTTTTTTCCTATAGAACTTCAATGCAATTATTTAATATGAAATTTGAAACCCCTTTTCAACAATGCGAACAGCAGCTATGATTCTTGACTTGGATGTCATCTTAGTTATGAACATCTTTCAGCATTTTATCTTTTTTACGATTATCATCAAAATTTGTAGAGGTTATGAATAACACAAGGTTGTAGAAAGAAACATCATGTTGCCTTATTTAATCTATTTTGCGCTTTCGATCTGGTGTTAATGATGTTAAATTCATCACACGAGTCTAAATGCTCATGTGGTGAATTTAACATCAAATAAGCTAGACCGAAGTGGTTATGCATTTCAAAATCGATTAAAATAAGGGATTGTATTCATAGCTGCATAACATGATTTTCTTGCAATCTAATGTCTACCCTAACTAATGAAAATGCCATTATTTTCAGGTGGTATTTACCTTCTGGAGATTCACCGTATACTGCGGCCTGGAGGCTTTTGGGCACTCTCTGGCCCACCAGTGAACTATAAAAGACGCTGGAGGGGATGGAACACAACCATGGAAGAGGAGAAATCAAATTATGAAAAGTTACAGGACTTGCTGACTTCAATGTGTTTCAAATTGTACAACCAAAAGGAAGACATTGCTGTTTGGCAGAAATTATCAGACAACAGCTGCTATAAAAAGCTTGAAACCCCTGACAATTACCCTCCGAAGTGTGATGATGGAACTGAGCCAGATTCGGCCTGGTACACTCCACTTCGGCCCTGTGTCGTGGTTCCAAACCCAAAGTTAAAGAGAGTAGCATTAGAGTACCTCCCGAAATGGCCACAAAGGTTGCACACGGCTCCAGAGCGTGTCACTGATGTTCGTGGAGGCAGTGCTGGTGCTTTCCAGAACGACGATAGCAAATGGAAGTTACAGGTGAAGCATTACAAGAAGTTGCTCCCTGCAATTGGGACCGATAAGATAAGAAATGTAGTTGACATGAACACTAGGTATGGAGGATTTGCAGCTGCTTTGATTGATGATCCGCTATGGGTAATGAATGTCGTTTCTTCATATGCTGCAAATACGCTTTCTGTGGTGTATGATAGGGGCCTCATAGGAGCTTACCATGACTGGTAATTTTCCCAAGACATGTAAATATAATACAGAATGCAAAATAATGTTTTCAGTAAATTCTATGATCGGAAGATGTGTTGAATCACTTTTTTGTTTTTGTAGGTGTGAGGCTTTCTCAACTTACCCTCGAACATATGATCTTCTTCATCTAGATGGACTCTTCACAGCCGAAAGTCACAGGTAAGGCACTCAAATACCTATCCTGATAGTATTTTTTTTGGATGATTTACAATTTTTACCATCTCATGGTTTGCTTCATTTTCTCCGGTGGCATCCCTATAGTTTAACATTACACATTCAAGCTCTCATGCTTCACAATCATACAATGCTAAGGGAGTTTAAGGATATGGGTCCGAGTGTTATAGACTTATATTGAATCCCTCACATGAAATATGCAAGAACATAGTAATTTAAATGTCCATTTTTTATGGATATCTTGGGAATTGAATCCTTGCTGGCCAGAGGAGGCTTTATGTGTATGTTCTTTAACCGTTATTTATCTATAAATCAGGCAAATCATTGGGGTGAAATATTTTTTTCTCTACTTCTCTAAATTGGGTTGGGTGTAGGTAAGAGTAAGACATCATTTATCAAGTTATATGACGCGTTAATATTACTCAAAAGCATGTGAACCTTGATCTCTTTAATTATCATCTAAATATAGACCATTGCTACATTGATGAGTAGATGTTGTTCATTGGAAAGTGTCATATTTTGTTGAATTTTCTAATGAAACTGTACAGTTGGCAAAATCAGTAAACTAATTACTTGATGCTGAGGTTTGTGGAACTGATGGTCTCAATCATATCCCGCCGAGTTAATAGCTGAATCTCCTTGTATAAGAATTTAAGCTATTGGAGAAAAACACATTTACTTAAACTAGTCAGAGTGAACGTGCGTTGCACGTTATTCTAAAATACTTCACAAGTGTCGTGAAGGTAATATTTGACCCTTCATTTATCCTTTTGATCTAAATATAAAATAAATGTAAGTCCTTGAAAATATATGTTAATTATTATACATGCACGTAAATAGTGAAATGCATAATTGAATGTGAGTATTAGAATTATAATTAAATACATAAATGAAGATGAATGACAAATGCGATACATTAATTAACGTGAATATTAATTAATTTAGAATTAATACTAAGGAATATATACCTCACAATGAATGTTAAATGAATGTAATTTAATTTTCAATTAAGTGAAACAGATGCTAATTAGCATAAATGGACGTGAATAATAAACTGCATCATTGAATTTGAAATTTTAATTAATATTAATTAATTGAATGTTAATAACAGGGAAAATTAAATGAGAATTCGAATGCTAATTAATTGAGAATTAATTACAGTATTGATTATAGTACATATTGAAAAATGAAAAATAGGATATTATTGAAATAATTGAATTGTATTTGGGTTATAATCGTCTAAAAGATGATTCTCAATATTTAGGCCCCGTTTGAGCCACATTATTTTTTTCATTCTCATTTTTATACTCATTTTTAACCACACATTTTTCAATAAAATAATATTTTTCATCACATCAATAATTTTTCCTTTTTTTTCAATCACATATTCCCATCATATCAACAGTAAAAATGCATTCTTTTTTCAAAAATGTGCACCAAACGAGGGCTTAATATATTATAGATTTAGTCTTCAACAATGCCACCTTACGTGCAACCTGGAGTTATTGTTTTCATTAAAAGCCTTATGCGTGCAAAATTTTCATTAATGTGTGTGATAGGATGAACCACAGTTAAAAAGTCTTAAGCTATTAGGGAGGTGACACATTTATTTATTTATTTATTTTTAGTTTTCAATACTACTGTAATTAGGACTATCTATATTAAAATATATGGCCAATAAGGATTTTTGTTTTGACACAATTTATTTGCTTGGATAGGTGTGAAATGAAGTATGTTCTCCTCGAGATGGATCGCATCCTCCGGCCCAATGGATATGCAATCATCCGAGAAACCAGCTACGTCGTGGATGCTGTTGCTACCATGTCTAAGGGAATGAGATGGGAATGTCGTAAAGAAGATACAGAAAGTGGCGTCGAGATTGAAAAGATCTTAATGTGCCAGAAAAAACTCTGGTTTTCTTCCAAGCAAACTTCAAGATGATGAATGAAATATATAATGATATTACCATAGGAGATAAGTTAGTTATATAATAGCTCATATAAACCATATGTTATGTATAATATTGAAGTTCAAAACATTTGAAGATTTAGCCACCCAATGTCATGGCTTTGGCTAGTTTTTAGTGCTTTTTTGATATAATATAATATTTTGTGAGGCTCTATTCTTTTTCAGGTTTTATTTGATCTTTCTTTGCTATTGTAGTATTTGGATTTTCAATAAGATGATTGCAAATTTACTCAACATTGAAAAGTGTTGATATAGTCAATCTTAAATCAATTGAGAGCTAAGCTTAGTTTGATGTACCTTGTATATGTTTCCTTCGATATTGAAACCATATTTTTTTACGAGGGCACGACGTTTTAATTGCACGATAGTTCTATATGTTTAGTCATTGTCAACACTTATTTTTTTCATCACACTCTGATTATTAACTTTTCATTAATTAGAACGTCTTGTCCATAATGACGATTTTCATATTAATATTCTATTAAGAGTAAAATAACTTGTTTGTCCTCGTATTTTTAGACAAGCAAGAAAAAGAACAAATACAAGATTGCGATGAAATATTTGTCCGCATTTTAAAGTATATTCACAAAATATTGGAAGAAAATTTTCATGATGACAAGATTTATCGATTAAGGAAAAATTAAGAATAAAAATACGATGAAAAATTAAAGATATAAATATGACAGTGAATTTTAAATTAAATTGTGATGTATTTTTTTAAAATAAATAAATAAATAAATAAACCCTAGCAACTGTGAACTGCTTATATAATGAAATATTTTATAAAGTTATATAACCAAGGTAACACTAAGCGCAAACATGAGTGGGCATTAGTGAAATTTACGCTCTAATGTATAATCAATTTTCCTGGTTGTCGAAGTCGAAGTCGAAGTCGAACTCCAATTCAAAAAACCCTAACAACTGGACTATATATAGCACTTCAACACTAAAACCCTAGCTTCATCTGCTTTCATTCAGCATATACGGCCGCCTTCTATTTCTTCGTCGGCGGTTAACTTTCTTCTTCGGTGCTCGGATGCCAGTTAAAACATTTACCTTCGCTAATTTTGCCCATTTGTTTAGTTCTAGTGTTCTGCACTCTCACATTTGGTTGTACCTTGATTATTACTAGTTTTTTATTTCAATGCATAATTTGCCCTACTGGCTTGGCATACTCGTGTTACACACTACGATTTGGGGGTTTGTACCTTCGATTACTGTGCGTATTTATTATTATCTGGTAGTTCCCGTTTTGCTTGTTATGGATATGAATACCCATTTATTGGCGAATCTCTCTGTTTGTGTACATTGATCTTTAAAATTTCTGCCTTTCGGATCCGAATTATGTTCAAGTTCCCACTTTTTTCTTATTTTTTGGGTGCTCTGATGATTTGTTCAATGCTCCAGAGCTTGTACATTTCAAAGATCATACCTTGCTAATTAGGGGCATATATCTAGATCTGTTTACTTGTGTTATGCATTGGTTAATTTGGTTCTGTAGGTATTACTTGTCCAGAGGTTGCAACTTGCTTAATTTCCATTTATCCCCATCTACGGAGTTTCTTGTGACCGATTAGCAAACCATGTATTAATTTCATTACTAGGGTGTGTTCTTGATAATTAATGGTGATCAATTAGCCAGTCACATTAAACAATTCGATGTGTGAATGGTCAGTAAGTCACCTATATTAGCTTGTGTTTCTCGGCCTTTAATCCGTGAATTGTGCGACATAGTCATACTTTAATATGTATGATATGTTATCACTTCTCATATTGGCTGTTTACACTACATTTCAACTCTTGTTTACACCCATAATGTATACATACTTTCATGCATGATTTTGACCAACGGAAGTAGCATTCTCTCTCTTTCTGTCGCATGTTTCTTAGGCATTGCTTATTCATATATATCTGAATGCATTAGGAATAATGGGTTTACCGAGCTACAACAAAATAAGCCTTGTGCTTCAGACCCAATTTGAGATTCAGTCGATTTAAAAAGTACTCATTTGATTGGAAAAACGTCAAGGTTGGAGAAAAATCCCACATACTTGTTCACTGACTCAATTGTGCACCCAAATAAACACAGGCGTGTGGGGAAATAAATATAAAACTATGTATTTAGTGGATCGTCATATTTTCTGAAACATGAGGAACTCTTGCATTGGTGAAATGGCTGTGATCTGTGCAAATGGTCAGTAAGTTCACCTATTTCATTATGTTAGTGGCATAAATTCAAGTAGATTGTTAGTTCCTCGATGAGACTTTACCTACATTTCGCTTAAATACGACACTGCATTTGTCCTCGATGATTTTATTCTTAAGCAGTTGGAACATATCTATTTTTATCCATAATTTTAAATTTTGGATGTCATTTTGATTTCTTGCATACCTCGTGTGAGATAACTCCTTTTACGCATAAAAAATCAACTCTGAGATTTGGTTTAGTCACTCTTTTAACATCAGTGCTTGAAATAAGGTTTATTTTGGTCCGCCAGATGCTTATCACCATTCAAAAGGGCAATAGGTAAATGGTTATAAAGAATCTTACTCTTTCACCAGAAAAAAGAAAAAAGCACTTGTGCGGGCATGCTGTAGTCATCATAAAACATGTGGAATGAGACTGCTAATCAACATCATTTGATTTAAGAATACAAAGGTGACCTGGGAGGTATTGATGGATAATTAGGGTTGTCACTGAATTTTCTTGATGTTGCCTATGAACCTAGCTTAATGGGGAGAAGTTGGGTGCATCGGTTCGGTGCAGGTCGATATTGGCTTATTGTGGTTAAAATATCGAGTTAATTAGTCAGCCATAACTACTATTAGTAACTTTCTGCTTACAAAACAAAATATCAAAATTATCATACTTAAGCAAAGGATAAACCTATCGAAAAGTAGGGCAAGCATAAGAAGATAACAGAACCATCATAAAAACATATCTTTCCATGTCTTCAGATACAACTCATAGGGATTTGCCCGTTCTTCGTACATAAACCCTTGTGATGGTTCGAGTAGTTTCAGCATTCTTCCGTGACGAGAGTATACAAAGAACGTCAAACATAATATGAAGGCAAAAGTGTAACTTTTGTGCGGATCAAGAGAAATATACTCACAGAGCAATATTGAAGAACACAAGGAAGCACGTGTTTTGGAATAATGCAGCCTGGGGAATTTTCTTTCCTTTGTAGTCATAAAATAAAGAAAAATAACCAGCTGAAGTAGAGGCAGCAAGAAATACAATGGATAAACACCCCAAGACAACACTGGGATCCTAAGGATTTTGCAAATGACAATGCCCTTCCCAGTTACTGTAGTTCCAGATTCAGGCTGCAAAATACAAGTGAGGATTGATTGCAAATCGATGTACAAATTAACAAGCCAAATATTCAAAGGTAACCTATGTATCAATAACAAACAGAGACAATGATCCAGCCCATTAGAATTGAACACCAATGCAAATACCAAAAACACCATAGAATTGATCGATCAAAATATAAGAACCAATAAGTATCGAAATTTTGCATTTTAATTGAGATGAGAGTACAAACCTTCTTGTTTTCAGTAATAATACCAAAAATGAAGGATAGAAAACCCAATGTTGCTACTGTTAGAGACGTTTGTTTCATGGTAACCACCATTGCTTCTTCAACTTTCATGGTAACTGCCATTGTGCGTTTCTATCGGAGTAAC